CATGTTTAGTTTATAATATAGCCCACCTATCTAGCATTGCATTGAAGAGCACTTATGTCTCTGGCTGTGTGCTGTTTCTTGTCCCTTGCTGATAACGTTTAAAGCAACTCAAGAATTGAAACAGCATTTGTGTGGCTGTAAAATAATTTCTGGAAACCCATCTTTTATTTCTCAAAATCTAGGAAATTAACATTTTTTGTGCCTAAAGTGTCAGGAAATGAAGCAGCAGTTGATGCAGACCTACAATTTATAATTACTTGATCAGTTTTTTATTACTTGAATTAATCATTGCTACAAGTTATTTCTTTCCATTCGCCATTGGAAGACCAATAAACTTTGTATTTAAACTTTACAGCCTTCCTGACAGATTTTCCTGTTTGCATGCATAAACGTGAAATGGATTGGCCAGAAATTTGGCATGGGAAAAAGCAGAAATATTGACTGTACTTCTTTGTTGCAAATAAATTGCAAGTTCCATGATCAGAAAAGGATTTCAGTCGGGCTGCATTTTTCAAATGAACCGGCATGATCTAGAGATCAAGGACTAATATGCAAATTGGGGCTGAGTTATAGTTTGAATTTTGCATGTCTCCAAGCATGGGTGTAAACTCTTCAGTGCTGAACAATGTCAACGTCTATTAAAAATGCTTATTTTGGAGTAAACCTACTTACAAACATGCACATTAAAGGAACATGCATATAAAATACATATTTGTCAGGGAATGTATACAAATGTATACAAATGAGTGTGACACTGTCCCTTAAAGCACCCATCTTATAGTGCAGTGTCCAGAACTGGATACAATATTCAAGATGTGTCCTAACTAGTGCCAAATAGAGGGGAACTAGTGCTTCACAAAATTTGAAGTCTGTACTTCTGTGAATACAGTCTAAAAGAGCAATTGACCTTCCTTCTCACTCATACTACTACTGAGCCAAGTATCCCTCATCTTGTAACTATGCATTTGATTCTCCCCCCCACCCCGCAGGGCAGAACTTTACAATGATCCCTCTTAAATTTCATTCTGTAGTTTTCAGTCCGGTGCTTGAGCCCAGTCCAGTGCTTGAGCCTATCAAGATCTTGCTGAATATTGTTTCTTTCCTCCAGGATATTAGCAACTCCACCCAATTTTGTGTCATCTATAATTTGATGGGCATTCCTTGCACCCACTCATCCAAGTACCGTATTTTTACATGTATAAGACACCCCCCACTTTTCTAAGCCCAAATTAAGAAATCTAAGTGGGGCTTAGCAAATGTAGGGTGAAAAGGATCAAAGTGCTGCAGGATGGTTTTGATCCCTGCTTTCTCCCTTTGTGCTGAGCCCTGCATGGCTTAGCAAAAGGAGGGGGAAAGGGATCAAAGCAATTCCATGACTACACAATCATTTTGATTCTTCGACTTAGCCGCCCCGAGTAGACGTGGTCTAGAGGGGCGGGGTATAAATTTAATAAATAATAAATAAATTAAATAAATAACAAAGGGGAAAGCAGGGATCAAAGCGATCCTGCAGCACTTTGATCCCTGCTTTCCTTTTGCTAAGGCTTATCAAGTAGAGGGGAAAGCAGGGATCAAAGCCCTGCAGGATCACTTTGATCCCTGTTTTCCCCTCCACTTGTTTTTTTTTCTCCTCAGCTTACCTCCACATATAAGACGACCCTCAATTTTTAGTTTAAAGATTTTAGACAAAACTATAGTCTTATACACCAAAAAATACGATAATTAATAAAAATGATTGTCTGGTAAATCTGTACCTAGTCTGGGTGGACCATGTTAATTTGGGTGGACCAGTGACATGACTTGACAGATGGCACATGTGGGGGAGGGGAAATCTTTTCGGCATTGGGCTTGAAGGGCAGGAGCCAAGAATCATGCAGCTTAACTGTGTCTTTAAGGATGTAAACTGGCTCTGCTTTCCAACAACATTAGCTAAAACTTGTAGCTAATAGATGCTGTGAGACAGCACGGGAGAAAACCCATGAATTTTCAGACTTAAACTTAACGGGTCTATGAGTGTGCACAAAAAAGCCTCAACAGTTTTAGCAAGCACTCTGGTCCTGTGCAAAGCTAATTGGTCCATGACTTTACCAATGTTGTACATTTTCTTTCTAATTTGCCTGTGTTCACAGAAGCATGAGACCTTTAGCTCGGGGCTAGAGCCAGAGAATATCCAGATGCTCTTTCAAGCTTTTCTAGCTGGGTTCTGTCAATATTTTTCTATCTTCACCTGCGACCCCTTCTGCTGTTGCACCTCTTGTATTGGCAGCAAGCCACTGGTGTTGACAGCAGATGTTAAGGCAACTCAACAAAAATGCTCAGAATCAATTGTGACTTCTGTCTCTTCTTCTAGTGTGGAAACACTACATTTCGTAAGTGCAATGTATCTAATCCATACACACACGTGTGGTTTTTTTTAACAGTGTTGCAAACGAGTACCCTGTGCTCAAAGTTCCAGAGTAAAAGAATATCCCAGGATTCTTCCTTTGCATCATATTTGGCTAGGGATAGAAAGAATACTTGCTGGGTTCCTTGATCTTGTCAAGTTGGGCTGTGTTGACACCTGGTTCTTAACCTTTGTTACTCTGATGTTTTTGAACTGCAACTCCCAGAAACCCCAGCCAGCACAGTTGGTGGTGAAGGCTTCTGGGAGTTGCAGTCCAAAACTCCTGAGTAACCCAAGGTTAAGAACCAGTGATCTAGGATATCAGAATGTTTCAAAGTTCCTCACCTCAAAAAGAAGAAAAGGAGTGCTTTATCCCCAGTTTATGTACAATGCCTCTGGGACAGTCTAAAGAAACAAATCACATACATATTTATTACAGAAGAACCATCTGATTAACTAATCAATTTAAAGGATATTTTTTTAAAAACCCATCCAATGTTTCCGATGTTTAACATTATGAAACAAGCAGCAGTAATCACAGTTTTGTGCAATTTGAATAAGTTACGCCATTTGTACAAAACCATTAAGTGGAGAGTTCCAGAAAATATCTTGTCCACTTGCAGGGCAAAGAGGAAACTATGGAATCTTTGGCATTGTCTTAGATGATGAAAGAAGTAAGGATACCCCATTCCTTTGATATACCATCAGATGTCTTCACAGAAATATCCCTGCTTGTCTTTGCTCCTTCTGAAAGCAATAATATTATAGGCTAGAACAGGAACTGTCTTTCGGTTAGATTTCAGACATCGCAGGAAATCTGAAGATTTAAGAAACATGGCCGACAGCTGCTAGAAAGGGAAGTTGGTCCATTGTGGTAAATGGGGCACTGATCCACATTATATGCAGATTACCCCACCAGGCAGCATTATTGTTGAGGTTCAAGGGAAGGTCATTCCATTTGGGGGCAACAAGATGGTCTCTCAGCCTTTGAGCCATAATGCTTTGAAAGTGAGGCGAAGCAGCCTCCATATCTGCAGCCTTATTTCAGCCAAGCGGTGCACTCAGATGTTTGACAAAATGGCCATTGTCGTCTGACAATGGTGCAATGCTCTCTCAACAGTGTTAATGGCACATATATGCATTTGTGTATTGTTCAGAACTGCTAAGTCTTGCCCCCAATACATTTACCCTGTTCTATTCTGTGCGACACACTAGCTCCTTTTAGTCTTGAATAGATTTTACAAGAGAGAGTGATGTCCCTTTGCGTCCTGGTGAACAATCCTTTCTCTTTGAGTGTTGTATATTCATATTCAGTTCTTTTACTGGCAGATTAGGTCAGTCAACAGAATTTGTATAACTCACAGTTGCTCAACCTTCTTTTTGATGTATTTATTTCTTTATGTATGCATTTCTTTATATATTTATTTACTTGGGTTCACAAAGAAAACGTACCAGACAAAAAGAAAAAGTAAACCGACCAAAAACAAAACAACAGGAGACAAAAACGTTGTGGCACTTGAAATACTAACGACTATATTTTAAGCTGAGCTTTCTTGGATCAAGGCCACTTCCTCAGACATGTCTATTGTTCTGCTGTGGTATTTGGTGCTTCAGTATTCTTAACAGGAGACTTTGACTGTGAAACAGCCAAAAAAACCCACAAAATCCTCTGCTACCGGGAGAAGCAAATGAACAGAATTGTTCCACCATACTTCTATACTTTTGTCCATCTATCATATCTTTCTAATCTATCTCTTAAAACTATTTAGGTCAGGCAAAAACAAAAGGGGAAAAAAAGAAGACAAAAATGTCATGGCATCATAAAGACTAACTGCTGTATTTTAATGTGAGCTTTCGTGGACAAGTCCACTTCCTCAGACAATTCTGTTCTTCTGTTTGAAGGAATGGATTCGTCCACAAAAACTCACATTAAAATATAATTTTACTCACATATAAGGTGCCACAATGTTTTTAATCTTCTTTATTTTGTTATGTTTGTCTTGTTTTTGCTTTACATGCTACCACAGACTAACGTGGTTACCTCCTCTATAATTAAAATATAATTAAAACTATCTATCGATCAATCGATCGATTATAATTAAAATATAATTAAAACTATCTATCTATTGATTGATCAATCGATTGATCTAGATATAGATATATAGATATAGAAAGATAGTTATATAGATAGTTTTAAATATGGATATAGATATAGATATATAGATAGACAGACAGACAGACAGATATGGGGATAAACACCATAGTTGTTGTTGTCGCTTTTGTTACAAAATTATTTCTTGATTACTATATAGATAGACAGACAGACAGACAGATATGGGGATAAACACCATAGTTGCTGTTGTCGCTTTCATTACAAAATTCTTTCTTGATTAAAATAAACAGCTTTGTAAAAAGTGGTTTTACTGTTAGTTCTCTCTCTTTTTTTCCCTTCTCTCTCTTTCTCTTTTTTCCCTTATGTTCATCTTACTCACACCTGATCCACTTGGTCCTTTGTTTTCGGAAATGTTAGATGTGTCTACAGTAGTTTTTCCCACTAGCCCCAAGACCCCGACAACATCGACCTCTCTGACAGATTCCTCTCCTTCCCCTTCTTTAGCTATCCCAAGTTCCAGCATCCTTCCCTCTGCTCCCCGAGATGTGGTCCCTGTTTTGGTCTCCAGTCGATTTGTCCGTCTCAGCTGGCGTCCGCCTGCGGAGCCTAAGGGAAACATTCAGACGTATGCTGTCTACTTCTCCAGAGAAGGTGTCAACAGGTAGGTCCAGATAATAGATGCCGTCTCTCAGGTGCCACATCTGCTTCTGACTGTGCATGTTTTTGTACATTATACCTATCAAGTTATCTTTAGATCTCATCTCTCATCTTGTGTGTTCAAAGCCATTGACCTTTGTAACAACCCTTTGAAGGACGTCAAACTCAAAGACAGTGACTTATTTATTTATTTATTAGATTTTTATCCTGCCCTTCTAGACATATGTCTACTCAGAGTGGCTGACAATAAATTATTCATTAAAAAAAACCAATTAAAACAACGATTTACATTGATGATGTATATTGACGTTCAAGATCATGAAACGCGAGTCATGGTTAAATGGGAGACTTGAATGTAATTCTCCTAAGCCCCAGACTAACATTCTAACTTAAGGGTGGGCACCTATCAAGAATTCTGGTAGGCCCCAGACCTTGGAACTTGGGGTGCTAGCGTCCCCCCTTTTCTTTTTTAAAGAAGTCAAAGAAAAAAGGCCCTTACATTGATGCTGGGGGCTGTCCCCTCCCCTCACCTCTTTGAGGCCTGGAGAGGGGTTATATTTCTCCCACTCAAGTGGAACACACAAAGCTTGCTCTATCTATCCTGCCAACCCAAGATCAGTATAGATACAACTCCTGCTGAAAACCTTAACCTTTCCCAGGACGAATCAAATGATTGGAAGGATGTATGTGGATTTTCATGGGGGTGGGTGGGAGATGTATTTGTTTATTAGGGAATGTTGGGCGTGGTTTTTTAAAAAAGCAATGTAAAAGATAATGTGAACATAATAGTACACATGTACAAAGCACTTTTTAAAAAAAGTGTCATATTGAATGCTCCAGAGATGTTAAGTGAAGCTATGCCACCTACTGCCTGCATCAACCATATCACTCCACCTCAAGGTAAGGCTCATCCCGGCATGTGTATGCACACAGAGAGTAATACTTCAGCCCCCTTGCTTACAGAGCCCTAGTCAACTGTTTTCTTTTGTTTGACATTTTCTAGTTTACAGTGGGTACATCCTTGCATAGATCAGTCAGAGTAGCTAGATGGAAAGTAATGAACAGAACTATATCAACACCCAGAAAGATGGAGATGGACATTCAGAAGAACACTTTCATAATAGATTTTAATTGCTGCTTTCTGCAAGTTACACACTAACTTACTACTAAAGCCATAATATTTTGTTCGGATGGATGTTCAGCATGGACAGCTAAATCTATACTAGCTGTTACTGTACAATTCAAGGGGACCGACCTTTCTTATCTCATTATAGTTCTATATATCTCTTATATGTGACTTACCCAGTTCGTTCAAACACACAAGTAGGGGAGTGCCTAAATCTCACCATCTCTATCGAGGTGGTGGTGAAGGCTTCTGGGAGATGTAGCCCATGAACATCTGGAGGCCCAAGGCTGAGGACCACTGCTATATATCTCTTGCCCTATTCAGGTGTGACTTACCCAGTTTGTTCAAACACACAAGTAGGGGAGTGCCTAAATCTCACCATCTCTATCACTGCTTTCTCCATGTAGGGAGTAGCATGTCTGCAGAGAAGCTCTGGCTTATTTTGTAGCCTCTCCGTGTTAGCAGAACCCTGGAAGGTCAGGAATTCAACACACAAGTAGGGGAGTGCCTAAATCTCACCATCTCTATCACTGCTTTCTCCATGTAGGGAGTAGCATGACTGCAGAGAAGAGGCTATGGCTTATTTTGTAGCCTCTCCGTGTTAGCAGAACCCTGGAAGGTCAGGAATTCTGCTCACATGGAGAGCCTTCACATGGTCAGTACTGCTGCTCTGAAGACACTGGACTTTCCACGTGGAGAAAATCACAACAAAAGCAAAGGGCTATGCAACTCCTCTCTTTGTATGTTAAAAAGAATTGGACAAGTCATGCATGAATAGGGCTCCTGTTTCTTCTGCCGTCATATTTATTCCTTTATTCCTTAACCCAATAGTAGAGGTTGTCTAATGGAACCACAACCCCATTTATGACTCCTTGGAATGACCCGACTGTAGAAGAGGGACGTTGCTGTGGAGTCTGAAATGTGAAACTAGAAATCTTAGCTACACCTTTATAACCTAGAACTACCTCTTCAAAGGTGAAGAGGTGGCCGCATTTTGTGGCGTACTTGCAAAAAAGTACCAAAATGCCAAAAAAGAGTCCCCAAATTCTTGTCATCTTGTCTGGCACAGAGATAACCATGAGAACAGAATAAAGGAAGATCACAATGCATGGAAACAGCAACTTAAAACATACACACAGACACACACACACACCACAAGTGATGCGTGAAACATATTGCATTAGAGCCCTTGTGTCATGGTATCACTCAGTGCCACAAATCCTGATTTCCAAAGGTAAACCTCAGGTGTCAGAGTAATACACAAAGAGCAGTACTACCCAGCGAGTTCTTCTCCAGCTCAGATGTGAATTACAGCAGAGGAGACAACCACTCTTTCTTCATTGCTGAATTGTATCAGGAGTGTTAGAAGAACGTCAATTTCCTGAGCTGTCAGGGTATTCCTCAATAATGTAATGTGTAAGACACCAAAAGAAGGGGAGCACCAGCCTCTCGCCATTGTTTTGAAGCAACAGGAAATAAAATAAGTGTATTGGAAGGAGGAGGATGCTTGGAGATAGTGAAGTGGAGAGGAGGGAAAGCAGGAACATCACCATAAGCTGAGTAGGTGGCCAAAGTGAAGGATCAGAGTAGAGATTGGAAAGTTACTTCTTCAAAAGTCATTTGTTACCACTTTGAGCAATAACTCATTTCTGTTACTCATTACAGTATTAAAAAGGTTACTTTGCCTGTGCCACTCATTACCTTTAAAATAAAGACTTAGTGGTTTCTTATTCCAGCTGTTTAATTTATTTTGAATTTTTTATTTCCTATATTGAGCCTTTATTTCTGTTGTTTTCAAAATATTCTTCATTTTCACTGCTTTAAGTAATTTTTCTCTATTTGTACTGATATAATCATTTAGCAGTTCTATGTTTCCACAGGAAAAGCAGAATTCATGAATGTTGTTGGGTTTCTGTGACATGCTACAAAAGAAGAGTTGGATACTCATCTTATACACTGAGTTGCTGAAAAGGGCCACATAACATTTCCAGACTGTGTCTTGGAAGTTATAGGCTGAACCTCAATGAGATCCATGACCTTTGGGTGGTGCCTAATGAAGGAGCATTAAATGCAGTTTTGAGTTTCTACAGATGGTCTGTGGCTCATGAAGAATAATTATATCATGTTCTGGAGTCAGAGACTGATCACAAAAATCAAACTGTCTGGTAGAAAGTGTATTAAAAGTTTTGGTATTGAAAGAGCAAGTTACCCATTATTTATTTATTTATTTGATTGATTGATTTTTACTCCACCCCTCTAGACCATGTCTATGAGGCTTCAGTCTATTTGGCTTGGGTCCAAGTTATCTCAAGGACCACATCTCACTTTACGAGACTGTTCGGGTTTTAGGATTATCAGGAGAAGCCTTTTTTTTAATTTGGTCCCACCACCTTCACAAGTGCATTTGGTGGGGACACTGGCAAAGGTCTTCTTGGTCACTGCTCCCAAACTCTGGAACTCACTCCCACAGGAGACTAGGCAGGCCCCATCTTTGCTGTCCATCTGTAAATCGGCAAATACCTTTCTCTTCAGGCAAGCTTTCCCTCAGGGACTCCCAACCTGAGTGAGGTTTTTGAATGGATTGTTGTGCCTTTGAATGGATTGCTGTGCTTTGAATGTAGTTTTGGTGTTGCTTTTCTTTACTTTATTTGTTTGATCTTTTTAAATATTTGTATACTTACTGTTTTTAGATTTAATTATTGCCTTCTAACAATGTATAGCACTTTGGGTCCTTTTTAAGAGATATGTGGGGTAAAAATATTTTACACACACACACACACACACACACCTACCTACCTACCTCCAGGCTGTGTGCATGGCTAGCATTTTCTGTGGTTCTGCTGTTTGCAGATATTTGTACAGGTATTAACTGCCTTGAAATTGAAGATCAAAGCACCCTAGTAATCCCTTATAGAATCTGCTACCATAGGAATATCATGGTTTGTTTAGCTAGAGGGATGACTCTTAACGCTGGGTTTAAAATGCCAGTTTTAATTAAAAAAAGAGGAGGAGGACATTTCAAAAACCCATTTTGAGACTTCTATTATGGCAAAAACTGCCTCCAGTCCTGTGAACTTTGAGACTTAACAGTGTGAACAAAATAAATGTAGTTTCCTTTAAGTGCGCAGGGAGACTACTGAGTCATTTATTGTTTATGCATTATTTTTACAAAAGAGCTATTTTTCTCTTTACAATCATAGTGGGTTTGACATTAACCCAAGGCAGGCATAGAAATTCTCAGACAAATTACTGTAACTCAAGAGGACTGAACGATTTCTGGTGTTTGAGAATAACAGTAATTTTCCTTGACAATTGACAGCCCGTGTAGCACCAACACTACATATAAAACTATTCCATAATAACCCTACGGGCTGCACATTCTTATATGATATGCAACTATAATGCATCCCCCAAAGGTTAGGCCAGGAGTGCAAAATTTTTGCTTCTCTCCTTTTCATCTATCAGAAAAAGGATTTGCTGTTTTTAACTTCTCCCCTGTGAGATACTGAGTTTTCGCATTTGGAAAAAAACACTATTGCATAAATAGTGTCCCTTGTGCAAAGGGTCCCTTCCAGCGCTGCATTTCTAAGATGCTGATGCTGATGTTTATAAATTGTGTAAATTGCACAGGCCACCAAAAGCTACAATAGTAGCTGCATTGTTTTGCATGGACTTTCAACACAGAAGCATCATTGGATAGTTTGCTTGCATCCTTTTGAGCAATCAGTCAGTTGTTCTCTATTTGCTGTGTGTACAGTTTTGCACAGCTGACAAAAAAATCTTGCGAG